ACTATCATAGATGATCATTCTGGAATCTCATCAATTAGAAATTTGTTACTAGAGTGTCTAGAGTTACTAGACCTTTGAGTATTCTCAATCATTGATCTAACCTGATCAATTAGAAATTTGAGTGATTACAATCATTGTTCTAGAGGTATGGTTGTGATTTAGAGTTTTGAGTGCCGATAGTCATTCATCTGATTGAGAATTTTGGATCTGGGATTTGGTTATTCAGTTTTTTCTGAAAGTATGAAGGAAATCGGCTAATCTTTCTTGGTTGACAACTGCTGATCAAGAAGTTGTGTTCTTAATGTTGTATCTCTTCGGATTTCATTGTCAAAAGGTGTTTGGTCTGGTTATTCAAGCTGATATTGAAACCCCACTTTGTGAGTTATCAAAACAAGTTCTTAAGCTGAAAGCTTATTTTAAGTCATGGTTCAAAGAAAGATTCTTTGTTATTAGACTGATTCTGCACAGTGGAATGTCACATAACTTGCACATTATCTACCCCATTGTTGGATGAATCAATATACTTATGGGCTAGCTGAGATTCTGAGGTTAATGGTTGTGTTGAGCTGTCTACAGACTATAGCTGCTTGTTGGTGTAACCAGTGGCGTTGAAGGCACATCGAATTTGATTTTAAAGTTGAAACTGAAGAATAAGAGCTTCATTCAAGGGGGAGCTTGAAATGTTCTTCAAAGACGAGCAATACTAAAGTTTTCCAAAGAAAGCGGGGGAGATTATCTCAAGGCTTGAGAAGATGCTTCCTTTATAAAACTTTAGGGGTAGACCGTTTAGCCCCAAGATATTGAAAGTTTTAAAAAAGTCATTTTATTGCATTGTAATACTCTTTGTACTGTGATGGGCTTTGGGCTTATACATTGTATTGGCACCTATAAATAGGTGTCTTAGGTTTAAAAATCATTATGAGAGTCGATTAAAGAGAGTTGCTTTGTAAGTTTTGCTTTCAATAATAATCCAGCGTACCTATTTGTTCCATACACTCTGTTGTTCATTGATTCATCTTTTGAGGGTCAATCAATTATTGATTTGCTGTATAATCTGGGATCTACATAGTATCTAGAATACCTTGTGGACCTACAAGTTGATGCTTGTATATTTTGCTTGCCATGCCATTAGCTATGATGGTGATTAGGGTAATGATTTTTTCAGGGTGTGCAATGTTGTCTGAAAATCCAGTACTCATAACTTCACTAAATGTTGGAACATTGAGCCATGAATTGTGTTCGTAGATATATTTCTTCGCTGATTTTGCTTCTCGTATGTGCTCAGGTTTTTGGTACTTGACTGCCTTGTATAGATTGCCATGTTTTTGCACTTGCTTGGCTTACAGTACATCCTTAGCCTAATAGTTGTGTCATATGTTAGGTCAGTTTGCCTCCATACAATTGCAATTTAATTTTCGGAATTATCATGAAATAATGATATGGTGTTTGGATTTGACAAACAGCATAATGATTGCTACAGGTTCTTGTAGTACATTTTTTCATCAAAAAGGATGCATTTTTTGCTACAGGTTCTAAGTCATCAAAATCATCCTTATCCTGACAATGTTTTTCGTTTGACATCGGTTTACATTATTACGTCTAATGGCTACTAAAATGAATCTCAAGTAGCTGCTTTATGCTCTACAACCTAAAAGGAATTATGAATCTAGATAATTGTATGTATCTACTTTATATTTCCCTCCTTGCCAAAAATGCTTAATTTCCCCCTTGAATAACTGATAACAATAATGAGAGGGATGAAGTTGGTATTGTGGCAGATTTGGTCCCAGTGTAGCATTAATATATAATTATTTTATAGAAATTACAACATCTATTTTGGTTGGTTGGCTGGCATGTGCTTTTGAATAAAATTACCTCCTTGTGATTTGTGTGTCTTTTCATTTAACAACAGGTGTCCAGTTGATGAGTCGTCAACTTTTGTCTTTTGATTTATTCCATCTCAGAAGTCGTTAAGGTCTCCCCTACGGCCTGGATATTTTATGTACCTTTCAGGTATGCATAATTTCTTTTGTCTTTGTCCATCTTTCAGGTTATTACTTGGGTCAAGTTCATTTGTTCGGGTTATCAGCAGATTTCCATTTTCTCTCTTTGGATAAAGAAAAGGAGAACAACTTTAGGTGCAACTGCAACGTGTCTATCTACCCCACCATCTGAACAAAGGGATTATATATATGCTTAATTAGGCTGGCTGAGTAAACCTTCAATATTCGGTTTAGTGCTTGCTGATTGTAGTAGTTGATGAATCCATGGCCAGACACTATCTATAGATTAGCTGTCCTGGGGTAGGGAGTAACTTACTTTGATGTAAACAATGAGTTTTAGAGTTGCCACTAATCTAATCCATTTCACGACAACAACTGCTCTACCATTTGAGATAGAGGTCATATCAGTCTACTATTTGTATCGAATCAACATATTTTATTAGAACATTTCATTAAGTTTTTAATTCTATGATCATTGAAATTTCAAAGAGGAGAATCCAACTCAATAATGCAATGGTTGTGGAGAGATGTTTCTTGTTGACAAATTGACTTTTTTGATCCTCAAAATCTAACCAAGGCAATAACATTTAGTGTTCGATGCTGGTTGTGAAAAAGGTCGACTTGGATATTTTGGACAGGTCCCTTTCCTACCTTTTATGAACTTTTTCATATAAAATAGATCTTGTCAGGTGCCATGCTTGTCGTTTTTTTTTGAAATTCATATGTGAATGATAACCATCCACCACTATATATAATATCTGTTTGTCTGCTAGCATATGGCTCAGGCTCGTACAGGCTTTGAAGCTTCATGGGGCCCAACCTTTTTGGCATCTGTAAATAGGAACAACACCAAATGCCCTAAACACTAAACAGGGATTAGAGCCAACCACATAACCAAACTGACCCCATTTAACTATCCCACTGTGAAGCAACTAATTTCATACGCCCTTGATGGCCATAAAGAAAATCCAGTCATTTGGTTGTGGGATTTGGACTCCCATATGTTCACTCAATCCCTGTTAAGCGATACCGAATAGTATGTTGGTGATTTTAGTGTTGTCGACCATTTGGTGTACTTGTGATTTTAGGAGGTATGGAGTGCAGACTCACAAATGTTGCTCCTACCATTTTAGATCGTCAAAAGACTGACTTTATGCAACTCTTGTTGAAGTGATTGTATCTATCATCTGTTTAGTAGGCCTTCATTTTATTTGTCGATGCTTTCCTTAGAATTATAGGCACAGTTCAAGATCCACTAAATCTAACTGAATGACTGTACACATGTTAGGGACAATGTTGATTGGCTGCAACCTGTGTGGACATTCGCAACGAAGGTAAACGTCTACTCACTTGTAATTCGTATCTACTCATTATGCATTTGAATTACCTTATTTTGATCAGGAACACTGGCCCATCAATATTCTGAACGATTACAAGGCCGTTCTCTAATTTTCTCCATTAACAAAATGTACGGTCAATCTAGGGGTCATTTGGTTGTCATTAACTCCTCTATAGATAAAGTTGTCTGTGTTGGTTAATCTATCTACTTTAGGAAAGTTTTTGTTTGAGATGGTTGGTTTATAGATTGAAGGAGTGTGTTTTTTTGGCTTTCTACATAAAGCTCCTGCCATATATCATTAAGCCACTATTAAACAGGTATAGTTGACCGAATTTGCTGTGAATCATATTAAGCACATTAAGCTACTAGCACATGGCAAACATCAAACAGACCCTAAGACAATCTTATATATATATATAGATGAAGGATCGTGTGAGAATAAGTGTTAAAGGTGAAAAGCGTAAGAAATGATCTGGAGTTGAGCCGATGCATCTCGGGATAGAAATTTGGAGCATCAGTAACATAAATGCATGAGATGTAATTATAAAATAAAAACTGTCATGCAATGCAATGCAATGTTTTCACTATCTAGTTGTTGAAGTTGAATGCCAATTGAAGTATTTTGTGTTGGGTAAATTTAGAAGAAGACAAAAAACAGACAATGTAGGAGTTGCGTCATTGTCACCTGGGACAACACCGATGAAGACATGACATGTCATTCTCTTATTTGAGATTTATAAAATAAGAGTTTGATGGAATGGAATTGGGAAAATTAATAAAATCCATTTTGTATTGGGCCGGATGGTAGGAGTCAGCCCAGTAGTGGATTTGTTCTGTTTTTGTATCTGAAAAAAGGGGTGGTAGTGGATTTGAGATTTAGATGTGTTTTATCTATCACTTATCAAATAAACATACTACTTAACTACATGTTTGTTCCTTACGCCTTGTTTTTCTCTTTTTAAAAAATAAAAAATAAAAAATAATCTATACTTTATTACATGTTTCCTTCTCCATCTTTTTCTTTTACCTACCATCATTCCAACTTCATATACCGACTAATCTATGTTGTCAATTTTATTTTCTTGAAAAGGTGTCTCGACTAATTCTCGTAAATTTTTTAACAAACAAACATAAGGGATTTCAATAAATTAAACTCGTTTTCGTCTTGTCTCGCCGCCTAACCTAAGCTATAGTTGATGAATCTTGTTGGATTTTATTGTCCATACCGAATCTTTGTGTGAACCATCACCGATATGATATGATATTAATTCATAGTTTTGCACTAGAAAAAAATGGAGAAAATTTGGAGTCTAGTTTGAAAGAGTTTGCGCCATGTGGGTCGTTCTGAATTGTCATGAAACTTTTGACGACCATTTTCTAACACGAACAAGAGAAATTTCTAAGGCGTCCGTATACGTAGCTATATATAGTTAACACATCTCAGTCATGGATCTTGTCGGATTGCCATGAAACCTTACGTGACTCATCTCCAAGATTTCTATTTCAAAGAGGTTGGCATCATATCCATAACAAGATAGAATCCCATGTCACTGTCCAAGGTCACAAATTTACAATTACAAACTCAACACCAAAGTTCAGGTTCACCAGCTGCCAATTACAATTACAATTACAATTACTGTTAGAACCAGAGACTAAATACTGAAGGACTGTTGCATTGATACTAAGAAATGAAGGGGCGAGTTACATAACTGAAAAGCAAAAGAATCTCCTAAAGAATAGCTCTATCTAATGACCAAGTCTTATTCAAAACAGCTACTAACAGTTACTAGCTAACAATTACAATTACAATTACAATTACAATTACAAACTTCAAATACACTACAATTACCAAAACTCAAAACTTTATACACATGTACATGGAGCAGTCTAGTAACCAATCAACCGCTTATTTATACGGTACACATGTGCATTAATTTATAAGTAGTTTTGGACACAAACATAACATACATTTTCAATTACTTGTATATACACTGCATGTGTTTTTCTGGTCTACTTAATTTAATTGGACTTCTTATCTTCAAATTGCTTGTCCTCCTCCCCCATCTTCCTTTCCATCTCCTTTCTCTGCTTCAAGTAGTGATCGAATGCTCTTGGAAGGAACTTGGGAATCAAAAACCCAAACAGATTGATCGAAAAATAACCCAGATTGGCCACAGCTAGAACCCTTCCAAACCAAAACCAAGCAACATCCTGCACATAAAATCAACCACTATCAACTACACAATACAAACCGAAAAGATGCGTGGATTCATATACAATTTACCTTGATTTCAGCATTTACAGGAAGGGTCTTGTTAAGCCACACATCCTGAACCCAATCTAAGACTACAAAGATCCTCCTAACCGTATACAGCATTGGCACCAAAGCTCTCACAGGAAGTGAAAATAATGATAACCCACTTATGATGTTTTCTGTTAGTATCTGACATGAAAGCAAGAACAAATGTGGCGTTGCTGACTGAACAGCATGCTCATCTCCTCTCGCAAACCCACCCAAAACATAAGCTAATGGTAGAAACAATCCAATGGTGGTTCCCAATATCACATATGCTCGGAAGAGGCGGTTTCCTTGGAATATGATCTCTGATCTATGACGAGTGGTGGAAGAATTAGGAAATGCTAATCGTGACAGAAGGAGGAGATAGATGGTGGTGAAGGCTGGGAAGGCAAGGTCAAAAAGTGGGACCAGACCACTGGCTGAAAAAACCATAATGAAAGCTACTAATTGGAGTTCAATCACACGTAGAGATCCCATGATACCACCCACCACCGTCTGTTGTGGTGGTTGTCTGGTGGTTTCCTCAGGGTCAGGGTTAGAGCCGGGAGCCAGCGCAAGGGATACGCCTGACATTTTGTCTTTGAGTTTGCAGTATGATCAGATGGTCTCTAGCAATATAATAATCAAAATCAATTTCAGAAAGATCATGGATCAATTAACAGATGGTACATATGTTTGAATAAGGATCGGCATACAAAAATCAATCAAACATACATATAATATGAATGGAATAACAGAATTGAGGGAAATCAAAAGGTAGAGATGATCTTACTCAGCTCAGCTTGTTGTCCAGAATTAAGCTAGAGATGGAGGTAGCCTGGCGACTTGAAGTTGAAGAGGCAAGTGGTGCTGATGGTCTGAAGAAACTACGTGTCGTTCTTACACCATACGATACGTGTATGTATGGGCAGCGGACACGCATAATTTAATTATAAATATTTTATTACCATTCAATCCTCTGCATATCCAGTTTACATACGTGAGAATGGAAGTTCGAGATTTCAACCCTTTTATCACTTTTAACCTCAACTACATGTATTACTTATATTATTACTTATATTTTGAAAGGAAATTGATCTGATGTATCTTGTTTTATCTTATTAATATTGATATTTAATTATAATTGATTTAAGAATAAAGATATTTTTTTTTATGTTTCTCACTATAACTTCTTTTTTCATTGAAATGTGATCCACGCAACTTTGTCACACGACCTAAAGATGCAGCCATAGAGTCGCCTGCACACTTTTTTGGATGCCTATGTAAGATTACATGTGATTTGATCATCTTTATATTCTTTTAAATAGTTAGCATTCTCGTTTGATCATCCCCTCTCTCTCTCTTTCACATTCTATTAATCACATGTGGATTAATTCGGTTTCTAAATTTACTTTCAACCGCATTTTATAACCGCCTTTAAATTTCAAAATGAATAAAATCAATGTTTGAGATTATGTTTGTAGGGTTGTAAGAATTTCATGGTTCGTATTTGAAACTCCTATATATTTGAGAACCCATAAAATTATGATAACCTTGAAAATTAGTATATCATGGGTTATTTCGTATAATTTTTTTTATTCAAGACAAATTTAGAATATTGATTAACATATATTTGTTTTACGATGTGTTTGTTTTATAATGTGAATCTTTTAGACTGTTTGTGTAACAAAGGTTAGACGTAAAAGTTTCAGATTGTGAACCGTGCTTACATATGAAATAAACACATTGTAAAACAAATATATGTTCATCAATATATTAAATGTTATGAGAAAAAAATTATACAGCGTATGATATATATATATATATATATATATATATATATATCTTTGTGACAAGGGTTTATTGGATTTAACTTTATCGTCATGGACCATGATTAACCGCACATTGCCATTGTATCTGTGTTATAACTCAATTATATGAACATTTTTATGACGATGTATTGATACACGATGTATTTTATGACGATGTATTGATACACCGATAAAAAGAAACACACCCTATTTAATATTAAAATATTTAAAAACGCAACGGTATTTTTATTTATTATTCTGGATGGTAATATATTTAAATAATGACACGGATATATTAAAGAGTAGCAACCCATGTATACATGTGCCATCCCTTTAAACACCACAAGTATTGCCAACACATTAATTAAGTCCAAGTAAAGAAGATGTAACATTTATATGGATTCAAACTGTATCAATTTTATGATCGTTGATGAATTTTTATATCTTGGCATGGAGGATATGAAGGCCGATTTCCAATTCTGAGATTTACTAACCGTCTAAATTCACAATGTAACTAGGTTTTTTTATTTATAAAAAAATTTATTTGTTTGAAGTATATCATATCATGTTTTATTCAATTTACATAGTTATTTGTAATTTGTAATATAATAATATATTTACATATATAAAAAGAAAGTTGGAATTAAAAAAAAAGCTGATAATCAGTTACTATATCTATCATAATCAGTTACCATACTTTCAGTTGACAACTAATTATAACCGGAATGGGATAATCCGGTTTCAGTGACTGGGCCTAGTTTCGGTTAACCTAATTTCCTCATGTCTAGAGATAGATGCCGGTATGCATATGTTGTCTTTCTTAATCAACACTACCAAAAATTAATTAGTCAAACAGAAACCGTACAAAAATAAGGTTTCCTTGAAGGTAACAAAAGCCAATGCGAGCAAATAGTGGTTATATATATATATATATATATATATATAGAGAGAGAGAGAGAGAGAGATAGAGAGAGGGAGATCATTAATCAGCCAACTTCAAACGAGGAACTATATTCATTGACTGGAGTTCCTGCAATCAAGAAATGATAAATTAAAATAAAAATGAAGCAAAATAAGTTAGGAATACTACTCTAAATTCACCAACTTTCTTATTTGAGAACAAGCATGTACATTTTATCATACCTATAGTATTACAGCGGTCAAAATATGATATCACCGTGATTTGAAATAGCAGTTATCGTTATGGAAAAGCAGTGGTATAACGGTCCAAAAATAAACGGTACATATAATAATTAGAATTACATACATGCATATATGCATACGTAACTCAATATATTTTATGCATTCGATAAAAAATATAAAAGAATAATAATATCCAAGTCCAAATGAAAATAATTGAGCAATGTGAATATTTTTATTTAAATCAAAATCCAAAAGAATAAAAATAATGTTGTACAAGTTCCAAAAAATAAAAAATAATGGTGCCCGGTCCTAGTTGGAAAAAAATAAGAATAATGAAGTTTTGATATTGTTGGACTAAAATAAAACCGAGTAAAAGTCCTAAACAAAAGCTCACAATTATTTTTTTAACATCAAAACTGCCTATCTACAAATTAGTGTTATGCAGCTACTTTTTGTGTTCAAAATGCGGTCATTTAGCAGTCAATAGCACCGCTAATCGTGGGACCACTATTTGACCACCACTGCAGCAGTGCGATTAACAGCATATGGATACTGGGTGTGTGTGGATCGGTCGTCACCCAGTTTTGGGTAAGAATAGATGATTCCAACGATTAAACAATTGTAAGGATAGAAATCAAGTTAATGAAGCCTCAAGACAACAGAAACCTCGAGATATTTTTAAAATTTACCTGAAATAAAAGCTTGCAAGCATATGGTAGTTTCATGGCTGAGATATTATCTCCATTCTTGCATGTGGAACATACCCTAGTTTTCGACTTGTAATTTATGTATCCTAATAAGCCACATTTCCTACAAACCTGTCAGATAACAAAAAAAGAATCATGCACGAAGATTTTGACATCAAATACTTGCACAGTACTACATATTCGTTTACTGGATATATATATATAGGGTCAGGTTCGGGGGAGAACCACAAAAAGTTGAAAAACTAAAGAACACCTTGGTAACCGTCTATCTAGACGGTATGCACATTTGGATACAAGTAATTTGTAAGCAATTTGTCAAGTATGCATGTGTGCATAACATGCACACGTGCAAAAACCAAGAAACAACTTCAATTACTTGTACGCACATGTGCATACCATCCAGATGAATGGTTACCAAAGTGTTCCTTAATTTTTCATTTTTTAGGGGTTTACCCTGAACCTTCCTCTCTCTCTCTCTCTCTCTCTCTCTCTCTCTGTCTCTCTCTCTCTCCCCTCTCTCTGTGTGTGTGTATATATATATATATATACCCAGGTAGGCATGATCAGCACCATCAGTCCATTTCTAGACTAAATACTGATGTAACGTAGATTAATGTACATATAATTGAAGCTCAACAGAAGAACCACCTAAGCACATGAAGATGAGTTCAACATATGAGACATACCTGAACCTCAAAAGGGTCACTAGAGATCATTAAGCGCTCATATATCAGGTTACTCGTTCCATAAGCAATCAAACAATCTCGTTCCATTTCCCCCACTCGCAACCCTAGGTAATTATCACAATTATCAATTACAATGTCATGTCGAACTAATTCAAAGAAGCAAAATTCTCACCTCCATTACGGCTTCTCCCTTCTGTGGGCTGTCTTGTTATCAGTTGGCGAGGGCCCATGCCTCGAGCATGCATCTTATCAAGGACCTTGTTTTTTATAAAGCTCAATTAGTCATTAGCAAACATAACTGACGATAACAAAGCCTTGTTATATGTCAAAAAAAAGGATGCAAACAATGGGATGATAATAAGGCCTTCATGTTCTACTGTCTTAATTCTTTATCATGAAAATTTTTTCTTCAAGAGGTATGCACCAGTAGGATACAGAGCAGAGAACGACAAACTCCCGCTCTTGTTTGCTAGTACATAAATTTCATGATAAAAAATAACGGCAAGAGATGGCAGTATAAATTAAACAATTGTGACTACAAAATTATATATATATATATATATGTGTGTGTGTGTGTGTGTGTGTGTGTATGTATACAACAGTCCAAGGGGATTTTGCCGCATCTCTTCTATATGGTTTAGAATATAAATTTTTGTTATCCTTTGTTCTTCAAGAATAACTCTATTACTAAAGAGAAGTGCATGAAAGAACATGCCTAATTCTACCTAAAAAATTGTTCACTCTAATTGAGGCAACACTCTATTCATTGTCGATCTCTTCCTTTTTCTGATCACGTTATTTCTCCAGCAGAAAATTTCAACATATAGTTGTTACAAATTACATATACAGCTACAGCTTGATCAACGAATAAATTTAATTCCTACCATGTGCTTTAGCTTCTGGTAGTATATTGGCCCCATGAAAATATATGCTTGTAGTGGCATACCAGTGATACCTGAAATATAGTGAAAAAGTTAGATGCTTTCAAAGTTAACGAATATATATGAGAATTAGAGGCTAAAATAATTCCAGTTCTACTCCCAAGAGATGCAATATAATTAGACTATTGAAGTTATTCACCAGATGCCTACACATAAAGATCCCCAAAGACCCATCCCAAACATGTTGTGGAATTCTTGGTTTTTCTTATTCCAAAATAAAATAGCACATAACCATTTGTACATTTAGGATCCTTGAAATTAGGAAAGGAATCCCATACTACGAATACTGACCTATTACAGACATGTAGACTTGTAGAGCGGTTGTATACAATGAAAAACATAATTACAAAGCACACCATGTTAACCATGTCTGCCAACGGTGTCAATTATTGTCGATGGCAATTGGCAAGGGCTTCGAGGTTGATAAGTCCAATCTTTTGTAGTTGAAAAAAGAATTCAAATTGCAATTGAAAGTTCATGTGATTAAGCAACTCTTCATTTATGATAGCAAAGATACATGGGTGTCAAGAGAACAATTAGTGAATAAAACTCAAGTTCTAAGACAATCTTGATCCATTATTGACATATGTTGGTGAAAAAAAGATTAAGAACCTGAATATAGGAAGTCCTTCCCATTGTAGCAAAAGCCATGCTTCACAAGGGTTTCACTGTTTTAAGAGGTGAAATGTCATTTAGGATCTGCAACCATATCTGCCTTGAAATTAAACTAACTACTCGAAGACAGAACGCACCTTATATCTTCAACTTTGTCTGCATGACCACTAGGTTCCCCAAATGCACTGCCATAATGAAATCTCCCGCATGAAACACCAGCCTTACTACCAAGAAGCTCTATCATCTTCCCAACAGTCATTCGACTAAATCAAATAGATGACAGAAAGTGAGAAAACAGAAACGAAAAGGTTAGAAATGCCTTTTACCAATATCAATCATAACTTAATAAAGATATGAAAAATCATGAGAGCTCACTAATATAATAGACCTGCAAACAAGATATATGGCATAACTGTAAGCCAACACACATTTAATTCATTGGATCCCATCTTTGCATGTAAGCCATATTCTATACCAGTTGAGGTGATCTTAAGAGAAAAAATAATAATTGATTACAAGAAGATGAACCAATCTTAGGACTATGTAACATTAATAGCATCCCTTGTTGAATCAAATGGGTTGATCCTTTAATTGTTGATCTTGGATTCCAACTGTTCTCTTGCCCCATTTAGGTACAATTCTGTAATGGATGAATTAAAATGCCCCATAACTGGAATTTTCTTGTTCTCTCTATCCCTATGGTTATGTAGGTTTTGGGTTTGCCCCTTGCCTGCTGTCAGCCTGTCACAAATAAGGTTCAGATACGAGACCAAATAGACTCATACATAGCATCAATGCCATGACTAACATGAAACACATGTTGGAAAAGACTCAAGACTTAAAGAGGGTTTTTTTTAATAAAGGTAAATCTTGCCACCCAAAATAGAAGCAACCTTGTGTATAGGCAGTCAGTAGAAGAATACCTTGTAGTCTCCAGAAGAAAAGACTCCAGCGGAGTGCAGGCAGAGTAACCCATTTCATAATTATTGAAGTGGATTAGGCACAGAGTGGAGCCAAGCACAATTGTTCATTCCCTGTTTAGACATTCTTCTCTATCCGTTTAGCTACATAGCTTCTACCATCAATGTTACTGCCAACAGTTGCTTTAGAATATTTTGGCTAATTGATACCTAGCTCTCATAAAGGTTTAAGCTTTTTATAACAAAAGGTATAATCAATAATGAAAGAGAGAACAAATTACAGTCTCTCGACTGTTCAATTTCCATCTTGTGACTACTTAGTTTTGCATTGACAATTCATAAATGAATGATAACTTAATTCCTTCAACCTAAACAGTTGATCAAACAATACGAGTGCCATGTTGAAGGGGTAAACAGGGAATAGCTAAGAGGATACTAGATTTTTTGTTTCTCTTTTACAACTTCAGGATGCATACCATATTCCATACTTGCGTGTGTGTATATGGTTAACGTTCAAAGAACCCTATGGGTTTTACTTCTTTGTCTTCGCTTTCTGGTTCTACCACTTATGATTCCTTTGGGTTTTAATCCTACCCCAAATAGCTTGTCATATATGGAATCTTGTAGTAGGCACAATTCATATTACTAATAAGCAGAGCTAATGTCTCCTACCTTGGAAACCCATGAGGATTCATAATCAAATCTGGGCAAATGCCACGTTCAGAGAAAGGAAAATCTTCTTGTTGGACAATGGTCCCACAAACACCTTTCTGGCCATGTCGACTACTAAATTTATCACCAACCTGAATAAAAATAAGCGTATCAGGAATTTGTCCAGACAGAGAAATGACAAAGAAAAAAGCCGACAGAAGAAAAGATGTTGAGAGTTACATGGTATTGTATAGCATGAAAATCATAATATCTTACCTCAGGCCTTCGAGTATGACGAATCATGAACTTTACATTTAAATTGTTACGCTTATCAGAGCACAAAGCCACTCTATCCACAACAGCCGTCTCCCCTTCTGCACCTTTGTAGGTTTGTTTACTTGTTCTATATGGACTGGTGATGCAACAACAAAATGAGCCTTTACCATCATAAAGACACAACGAAGTCTAGTACATTATAACCAACTCACGTTTGCGATGGATGTGACTTCATGGAACCCTTTGGATCTATAGGACACTCTTTCTGGAAATAAACGTCTTGATGTCTGATTATTTCACCAGGAGAAGCAAGTCCGTCATTGTCCAGAATCTACAAAGGAATGAATATAGATTTTTCAGGAGTAAATAAACTGCAAATTAGTTAATCAAGACATATACAGAACATATGATGTACAACAATAGCTGTTCAAGCCTGTGTTATAAAAAAAATATCTAATCAATCATAGAAGTCAAAATATGACAGTTTTTCATAAGGACAAACCCAATGAATGCATAAAGGTTAGGCCTTCTGAGAGGACAAATGAAGATCATGAGAAGATTTTAGCTACCATGCATGACGCATGAGCAAATATCTAGACATGCTCACTGAATGACAATTATTAAATCATGCTTATGAATACACCAGATGTCGCTCTGGTTGTTTATAATTGAATAAAACTAATAATCTACTTGTTCACAAGTTATCATGTAAACGTGCATTGGTCTAATCATCCAATAGTTCATCCAAAGAGAGCGAGAGATTAGTTTCATGCACACAAGAGGGGCGGAGAGAGAGAAACACCTGAATCTGATCGTGCTGGGATCTGCAAGGAGATGAGAACTGATCACTAGTATTGTCATATTTCTGATAAGCAGCTGATATCCTGTTTACAGATATGCATAGGAAAAAGCAACTTCAGTAACAGCATAACTGAAACTAACAGGTAACAGGCTGTTTGAACAATGCTCATCTGGTAACTACTTTTTCATTACGATACAGCGACCAAAACCGCGATCCAAGGATGATTTATTCATAACTATGGCATCCTCAATGTCATAACCACTGTAACTCATAACTGCAACAGTAGCATTTTGCCCAGCTCCAAGTTTATCATACCCAACCTGAAAGGGATGCCAATTTCCTATTTACATCATGAGGAAGCAAACCAATGAACTCGTGCATACCATGGTCAGATAAGACAAATACCGACCAGCTCGATTGTTCTCGTCGTCAGTAGCGGCCGTTGAGGATAAACCAAAAGGTAGATCAAGGTATCCATCCGACATAGCTTCATTTAAAGAAACAGTGGACCTAAGTGACTACATATAAATTATAAAATCCAATGCATGTAATCAACACTTATGAAAAGCAAATGATGAAGCAAATAGCATTCAGATAAAATCTGGTTAGGTAAATTGGCATAAAGTCAAAACTCAAAACAATAAAGAAGAAAAGAACCTAATGGAACAGTCAATGTATATCTTCATCCGTTTTTTCCCCTTCTCTTTCTCCTCTTCTACTTATTTCAACAACTTTGGCTTCCAATGACTTCATCCAACTTCTTGTCAGAGGGACAAATAAATCCTTTTCAAATAGTACACGTGGCCGAATAGGTTCCTTCATTTAAGCTCTACTTATACATGGCCATAGAATCCTCTTTAAAATGTACAAGGGCAAATAAACTGTTTTCCTTTATTCATACTCAAGATACATAAGCTTTGTGTGTCGTATCAACTTTCTGTAGTATTTTTGTGAACTGTGGGAAAGTTTAATAGCAATTAAGTGACTGGTCAATGCAAACCGACAAAAATTGCAGTATCAATTTAGTATGGCATGTCATATCTTACTTTTAGAGAGTACTGGTTCTAGTGGAAGGTAACTTTTCCATATATTTACAGGACCCCTGTTAAAGCACTCTATTCAGAAACAACAAGTTCTAAAATTTATATGCAAGTCTCATCAATAACTAAATCCAATTATACATGAGAAAGCATTCAAACATGAATTCACCATAAATCAAACTATAGCTGCAAACAATATAAAATAAAAGTTTGATCATTAATAGTTAAATGCATGGTTTAAGAAGCAGAAAAAACCATACCTGATTATATGCAATATTACCCATTGCTTGCTTTCCCATGGCACACTAAAGAAGCAAAATGCAAAACCATAATTGTCAAACCTATGGTAAGTGGAACGGGAAAGGTCTACAATTCCACAAGCAACAAACAATAAAGACCTGATAGGTATTTCTCGGGGATTGGTTATGATGAGGAAAAGGAATCAGTCCAGCACAAGCACCTAAGATTGTGAAAGGTTCTATTTCAACATGGGTCGTCTCATGGGTTGCCTCTCCTTCGTATAAAGCAATCTATGGATCATAAAATTGAGTAAGAATGGAAGTTACAGAAACAGTAAACAAGTCATCATCTCCAAAGAATTCAAGAATTGGCAAACCAAAGCATTGTTCTCTTCGTTGACATCAAGATACTCTATCAGGCCTTCCCGTAGAAAACTGTCGAAATTCCGAACTCCATCCTTTAAAAGAAGAGATGGTTAACAGATTATGTGACTACTTTGGTATCAATTTCGTTAACAACAAAGCGTGTTTTAAGTAACTTACCTTCAACTCTCTCATGTGATGATCCTTAATTCTAGATACACCATTGTCTGCAATTACAAGTGGCCGACAAACACGACCACCATCTGAAGCAATATAAACACAACGCTGCCAACAAAGCAAATCTCCCACTTTAGAAGCTTCAGTAATGGTTTTTTGTGAAACTAATGTTGCTAATACATGCGAGGGTAGCAAGATCAAACATTAAACGAGAGACCACATATAATACATAAAATGCTTCCCCAGCTATAGATGAGTGTTTATTACCTGTTTTATTTATTAGTGTGTTAAACATTTGGTTTGTTCGTTTTTATTATTCGATGCGTTCGCTCCACATCTAATTAATGGCCACACTTTGTGTTTGTTCTTTGGTACCATGTGGTCAAATCCTAACATATGTAAGTCCCTACTATGCTCTCTATACTTCTCCATGAAGTATCTGAGAGGTGGATTGCCTCGGTTGTCAACCGTCCTAGTATGAATCCAAATTGGTTCTCCATCACCTCCATCTCACACCTCACTTTGGCCTCAATCACACACTCCTGTAATTTCATGATATGGCTAAGTAACTTTATACCGCAATAGTTGTCACGCTGTTGTACATCGGATTTGTTCTTATAGAGTGGCACCATTCACATGGGGTAGAATAGAGGTGTTTTGGCAGAAAAATGTGTTTGAAATTAGTAACGTCGTACACGTGGGAAAGGCTGAAAATGTTAGTTGAATGTGACAACACTTAACCATCTCCAATAACCATTATACAAGAAAAACATCGATGTAATAATACCGGATATTTTCTACAATTACAATAGTTATTCGCTTACACAAAAGTGAATAGAATTATCACAGAAAGGGTCACTAGATTGCTCAACACTAACATCCGACATAGTACAAATCTGACAATAATCAACAGTAACCATTAGCTACAAACGATCAAATTATGTTTGCATCTAATGCAAGTTCCGATTTAAGGGTGAAAACGCATTCAACTCCATTAACTTTAAAAATAAATAAGCCATTGAACATTGTGATCATCATCTATCTATATATCCTATACCTAAAGGTAACTGATGAAAAAATATTGTTCTTTTATTTATTTAAGAAATTGTGATCTTTACATGAATGTTAATTAATGAATTGCAACTCCGAAGAGCTTACCTGTTTCTCATTGACATAGATGCTTACAAAATCACCTACTTTGCCCGCCCTCCGTAGCTTTCTCATTACATTAGCAAACCGCTACATATGCATTTAAAAGAGTAAAGAAGTACTAAGCCAACGAACAAATAAAATATCACATTTAATACGATATCATCAAGCAAAATATATGCATATAACCTCTGGCCTCCTATGCTTGCCGAGGATAAGCCCGTTTAATATGATGAGATATGAACTTGGTGAATGGAGTTCTTCTCCAGAAAGTGTTGACAAGTCTTCAACACCGAAGCAGGTACACTAATGAGAGGGAGAAAGAAAGCAAAAAGTGATGATGGGGATCAAAAGAGTAGGGCAAATAGTACATTTGTGATGATTGTATGTGAGTTCATATGATGTTTTAACTACGTACAGATTACTGTAAGTACAATTTTATATACATACATAGCCAAGTTATGACTAATTAATTTCATTATTGTATTTGTAAGTTTTAGTTTTTATTGTTCAACAAGTTGTATAAAGGTTTTCATTCACTACAAATAGACAAGGTTTCATAAAGTGGGTCGTTGGATGATTTGAGATTTTCATAGAACATGTCATTTGTCAAGTGAACAACTGTTGGTGTGAATCTTGCTATTTTCAAGTCAATTCCACAACTCTTTATTTTTTCTGAAATGTCATTATTTATTACCGAATCTTCCAAAAAGAAAAAGATAAGGTTTCCTTGTACTTTTCATACTCATGTTTGATCCAAGTCAAATACTTGTAACTGGGTCATCAGTAGTACTCAAAAAAATAGATAACTTGAAATTCTTTACTTGTCAAAGCTAATCTAAAACAGCTAAACTGGCTCCCAGATCCCCAACTACATCCAGATAGTGAACATGCTCTTTAGAGATGCATGTGGGATGTTATCCCACAGAAGAAACTCTAAAAACAAACTTGGGACAAGATTTCCTACCCATCTAAGAGAAAAATATATTTCAAACAAATATATACCTTCACAATATATACAAGGAAATATCAACTAATTAGCAAGGAAAGTAAGGAAATACCAAGGAGATAATTGGGCCTTCCTCTTCATCTGTTGTAACATGTGTCATTAGAGCCAGATTTTTCACCAACCCACAAGCTTCACCTTCAGGAGTGTCACAGGGGCAAAGCATGCCCCACTGTGATTGGAAATTTCAACACAAAAATATGCAGTGTTACTACAATGTACAGCAATTGTTTACAATATATCAAATTAAAGCTTCAAATACCACAAAGGTAAAACAGCTGTTTATGATTCATAAGGCGCCTACCTGGCTAGGTTGTAAGGCCCTAGGTCCACTGACTTTCCTCGACTTCTCAAACTGTGGTGAAATTTTTGTCATGGAGCCAAATGCTCCAATGAAGGACAGTCTTGTAACAATCTGTTAGAACTGCAGTATTAGTTATCCTATAAAACAATATTTCATTGACAAGGGTATAAAGGTGATAGGAATTGGAAAAAAAAAAGAAATAAAGCACCTGCGTCATGCCTTTCCTGTGCATCTTAAACCGACTAACATCCCAATTTCCAGTAGAAAGGCTCCGCTCCAAGCCAACAGTAATACTCTCTTTCAGTAGATGCTGAACAAGTAAATTAAAATCAGTTGCAGGAACAAAATGAACAATTAGATTCTAGTTGCAGTGCCTCTAATTAACAGGAACAATTGACAAAGTAATTACAACAAGCCACATGCGTACATACTAGGAATTCACATCTCAGGGTCCAAAATTTCATTTTCTCAAGTTTAAATGGCAATCCTTTCCTTTTATAACAATACACAATAAAATTGATTGGATGAAAATGAACACCAAAAATTTCTTAGATTTTTTATTTTCTTACCCTAAAAATAGGGTAGGAGGTTATGGAAACTTTTCAGGATTAGTTTAATTAAACATACGTCTTGTTTCTGCAATTATCAAAAGCAACTTATTATCTCATCTATGAACGAAGGAATTAACTTTACAACCAATCATGTCAGTTCTGAAACTAATATATAATGTGTAGTTCTCTGATGAGAGTATGCTTTGCTAAAATGTGTTGTTATTGTGCTTAGTATGAACAGGTACACAATTTTGACATGAAGTGTTTTATTAAGCCATAACACTGACACATTTTAGTTTCAATCTAACATATTTAGACATTTTGACCAAGTCTTTCACTGTAATATGCATAGTTTTTTTTTCTGTTAAACCAGACAACAGTAACACCGCAATTTATTTTGACATTGAAAATTTTCCTTTTCTTTTTGCATCCCCAATTTTCACTTTTCATTTTGCTTTTCAGTTTTTCCCTTGATGAGCAAAGACAACTAATGGTTTAACTTTTAGTGTTGGATTGTTTTATTCAGCCAGGTATTATTTCCTTCACTCTGCAAGACAGTTCAGTCTTGATTCTAACTGTTTACAAATATCAGTAGCAGACATTTGTTAGAAGAAACTAAATACTGGTATTCCAACTATGCATGCTAAAATTGGGTAATATTTAGTTAATCCATCAATCTTCTTCCATGCAATCTCCTACGCCCTATGCTTGTGTGCACAGTAGACAGAGGCTAACCCTTGTAACATGCTGAAAATAACTTACTAGAATGTATCACATGACAAAGATTTGTACATTGCCTATCTAATCCAACTGACATACCTGAGATACATCAAACCTGCTAGAACGACTGGGCTTGGATAGGATCTTATCTACATTAAATTTTACTTGGTCATTCATTGACTTGAACAGGTCCTGAAACATGAAGTTTAACCAGATATCGCACATAATTAAGACTACTGACGTTGATAAAAATAACAAAACAGCAATCTTGACGAGCTATATTATAACAAAAGTGAAAAGTTAAGCATGCAAGAGTTGTTCTATTTTGCCTTTGGTTCATGGATCCAACAACAAAAGCATCATCCATACTTGAGTAAGCAGTGTGGCATACAAAGGCGGAAAAACTCATGACCTAGGTTGTCACAGTAAGCATCATTATTAAACAAAAGAACGAGCTACTCACCTCAAATAGTAGAGATAATAATTGCCCCGAAAGTTCCAGCCGTTTATTGCCTATATAATCCTGTAAACCCGTTAAATTGACAATCACTCATGTAAGAAAACACGTGTGTGGGCACAAACGCATACACACACATAATGATGCGTATATATAATACAGCCAAAATGAACCATGTTCAAGAAGGAAAAGGTCTTTAACCTACACAGATAAATGCAAGCAATGGGAAACCAACATCAGACCATGAGAGCCATACAGCACTTAACAGCAGAAAAAGATCATGACTTCAAATGGTCGAATGCAAGAAATGTATGACATAATGGTTCATGAGACATCAACTTGGCATGCATCCTACATAAATATACTGTTACATAAATGAGAACAACTTATTGTCATATTCAGCTGCATGTAAGCTAATTTGTAATGTGTACAGCAGTACAGTGTACCCAATGCTTTTAAGGTATATAACTTTAACAGGATAGCCTATGATAGCTTAGAGAAGAGAACAATCAGAAATTGACAGCAAAATAAAGAACTTCACTGCTTCAGTGCAATAGGGAAGATGTATTACAGCTTAACATCTCATTAATAACAGATTCATGTGTTTGCTACATATATACTATCACATAGAAAAATAAAAACTACTTATTGCCATTTTATTTTGCATGTAACTGCACACTTTTGATTTACACGACAAACTTCTACATGTTTTTGAAGAGTACTAATCCATGGACAAGTTTATCAAGGCTTAAATTGCTAATAGTGCATGTCATCCCTTTAACTGTGCAATAGAAGCCAAGGATGGAATCCATCATAATTTGCACTAGTGAAGTCCAGCAGCTTATCCACACTAAGTAACTCCACAATCTAGGCTCTTCAGTAAAAATCTAATGGCTTCTGATGACCTGTCCGAATGATTCCATGGACTTCCAGTAATGCAAGAAAGGTAAGATCCTACATCTTTTAGATAATTGCCAGTAGAAATATTGGAAAAAGAATGATATGATGAGAACTAGATATTTGCATGGTCAATTAATCCTAAAGATATTTCAACCGAGGGTGAAGAATTAATTTTTTAAAGCAGCTTGAGAATTGTATAACTCAAGAACATGGTGATAACTGATAAGCAACCAACTTCCTTTGGAACCAGAGTGCTTGAGACACATAAAAGCATCCTTACTAAGAGAGGAGCTAATTAAGCTCAAACTTACTTTGTCATCCATTGCATCCTTGTTTAAAATTGCATCCATCATGCGTCTCAACATCACCACAACGTATACGCACTTCAAATGAAAATTGTTTTCCCGCACCTAGATAGATGGAGAGAGAGAGAGAGAGAGACAGTTAGATAGAGATGCATTGGAATTGATACAGTTAACTGGAGACTTGATTCCACCCACCCGAATATTCGGAATAAAAATATCTCGAAGAACACCCAAAGCTCCTTCATCCTACATGAACAAAAAATACCTGACTGTTATACTACGATGCAAACTGTAAAATAACCAAAATAAGGAGGAGCCATAAGCCTTCAGCAAAAGAGTATATCGGAGGAGACATACCTTACCAAACCTCGACATTGATTTTTTACGCTGCATGCGAAACATGAATGATCAAGAAAGGAAAGATGTAAGTTTATAAATTCCTCCAAGAAACCAGCATGTGGTAATGGGCAAGACATAAGAAATACACACACACACACACATATATATATATATATATGCAAATACACTGTTCCATAGCCACTGCTGGTTGTATCAGGTGCAAGCACTAATCAATGGCGTTGGATATAAACAAATGACCAAGATCCACATACATCAGAATACCTCCCTCCAAGTATAAAGATAGAGAACACTTGGCCTGCCCTCAGATATGGAGAACAAGAGTGAAGATTTTCATTGTTGATTGTGCCTATCCAGAGGCTAATGGATAATCCACAGCCAGTATTGGCCTATGGATCACCAGCCATGAAATAATATAAATTTACAATTACTTTGCAACACAGCATGAAGTTCTAACCCCCTCAGGAAGCGTGAAGAGTTCCTCCCACTTCAGTAAATATAACTCGTTGTTAAGCTAATACTTACCATAAATGTAGAATCTTCTTCATGCTCTCCAAATAATTTTTATTAAACCATGTGTTTAATGCATATTCATGCTAGCAACAACAATTTTCTACAAGTTGAATGTTTAACAATAGATAAGGTACGGGAAATTGCTGAGACCAAATCATTAACTATGTAGCCTTAATTCCCGGTGACAGTAGTTAACAGACAAAGTCATCAAGGTAAAATAAGAAAAGACGTGATATTTGAAGGCATGAGCATCATGAATGGCATGGACACCTCACCATGACCCAACTCAGATACATGCTTCCTTTAAAACAGAAACTTGAAATACTAAAGAGAAAGATCATCAACTTCTTCAGCAATGTAAGATTAACAATGTTAGTTATTCAAGTACCAATAAAGAGAAGTCCAATCCGAAAAAAGGCTGAGACCAAAATAACTATAGTCTCAATAATGTAATCTATTACAAGCATCAAAGGAACTTAGTCTTTTAGTGCTATTCTAGTATTCCAATAAGAACTATGGCTCCCTCTCATTAAATAGTCATGCAGTTCCCACTGTTCTTTATATAAGAGCTTATAAATGAACACTGATAGTTCCTCCAATATCCTAATTTGAAGAACTACCCCTTGGTACAAAGATTTGGTTTCTAGAACATAGCTTGAGTATAAAGCCAAAGAGATCATTGATTATGTAATGGCAAAGCTCATCAACTCATTTCCTTTCCCATACTCATTCTCCATAATCCACACATCAATCTTGGTTGGCAAGATTCCCAAGAATGTAATGCAGTGCAAAGGAAAAGAACAAACTAATGGATGACTGGGGGAGAACATATTAGTAGTTTACCAGATGACATGAGATATAACTTATATCTCATGACTTGGGGACTTGGCTGCTATCTTGTAACATATAAAATAGCCAAGTCATGAATTATTAAATATACATGGATTAGAATGTAATAGACTATCTATGAAATACGTCTACTTGCTTGCAAGATCAATAAACAAATATACGAATAGTCAAAGAGAAATAATCAAAAAGGACACTTTTGCAGTAATGTCAAATACAGTACCATTCTACATTAGGAAATACTATTTTCATTGCTTAGCCTTTAAATGCATGTCATGAGTAGTGTGTTTACAACCATAACTGGCAGTTCTCTTCTTTGGGGAGTCTCTTCCGATGCATAACATCTCACAGTTCTCTTAACATAATATTAACACACAAGAAGTCAAAAATTAATCAGATTTTCTCTACAAGTCAACAATCGACAGTACCTTCTTTTCAAGGAACTCCAAAGCTTGCAGCTGTGTATAGATACCAATACTTGCACAATCCTGAAATCGGGAATGATAAAATGTGATATTCAGTGTCCAATATGTTTTATTCTTACACAGGGAGACTGATGACCTATCTCCATGCCTACATAGATTACTTCTGCGCTTGATAAAAAAAATAACTATCACAGTAGTGACAGAGCAAATTAAAAGTGAATGAAACAAGGTTTTTGAACTTAACACATGTGTACGCTATGAACATGAATAAAAAACGAAATGGATTGTAGCTTCATTATGATCATTAAGAAACGAAACAGATAAACTATGAATACATAGATTATTGTAGCACAAAGTTCTCAGGGATTTGTAGGTCCTCGTAACTCCCTCCATTAGGAAACATCATGATCTTGACTCTCGGAGATTTCGAGGGTGCAGTAAGCAGTTTTTGCCCACATCACACACTATCACAACTTGGTTAAGATGGGATTGTCATTTAAGTTTGATGTCAATTGATGAGAGACCTCTAAGGACACCTTAAAATCTCTTCTTCGATGCTCTAAGTTGGTTACCGGTTAGCTTTATAAAAGTGTACGCGTGCAGTAATAAGTTGTAAACTTGAATTTCATTAATAAGCAGTACCTAATGCTTAATAATTTGTTTTTAAGAGTTTCTTACGAAATGCTTTATAATATAGTAAAACAAATCTCAAGAAGGGGGACAATGGAAATCATGTTCATATCCTTTTGCTAGATCTGATAGTTTACCTCAATAGATGGCAAAAGCAAAGTAGCATATTGAGGATCTCTACCAAGCATCTGCACAACTTCCTGATCAGTTTCCATACCCATAGCTTTCATGACCAACATAATGGGAACCTACCAAAAGAAGAGAGAAAGAACATGCTGAAAAAAAATGAAGGATCCTTATACGTTATAGGAAGTAATAACAATTTATCTTAGTATCAGATATAAAGAAATGTTAAAAAAACAAGTCATGATAGAGATAAGACTCATACCTTGGAAGTAAATGCATTCAACACCAAATACACTTTCTCTTTCTCCATTCTGATAATTGTTTTACTTTTTGTCATCTCTGTGCTGCTCATGACAGATGCCTGGATGCTGGAAGGAAAAACAGCAAGGACATAATCAGTGAACCAAATGCGGTATCACAAAGAAAAGCAGACATATGACTCAAAGAAATGCTAGATTCTAATTTGTGAATGGAGCAATACATAACCATCCTTGATTCAAACTAGTTGGGTAGGTAGAAATCCAAGTGAAAATGTATGAAGCCAAACAAATAGAAAGAACAATCGTCTTTTCAGTTTACGTTTCTCTGAATTTCTCACTCGTCTGCTTACAATTGTGCTTGTTTGAGGAAAAATATATATTTACATCAAACAAAATCACTGGGTTTTTTTTCCATTTTCATCCCTAAAATTGAGAAGTTTACAAATTCATTAATAACCTTCCACACCACTTTCAAACTACAAAAACATATTAGCTTTCATTTGATTGACTAAGCCTCAGTGGATCATTTTTTCACTTGGAAGATACATTTTCATTTAGCATAGGACAATGAAACAGTAAGCTAAAATCAGAGATATGCTATAGCAGAGTTCTTCTTGCATGTTCTTTAATTTTTTTAATGAAATGCAAACAGAAACAAAGAAAAATGTCTTCCCAATGTTCTCGCAAAGAAGGGTTATATGACATTTTGGAAGCATGGCATAGAAAGAAAGAAAGAAAGAAAGAGTAGGGCATGTTATTGGTTGTACTTTTGTAGAGAAGAGGTAACACATGCCTAAAGAGAATAGTGATCAGTAACTTGTAATAAATCAGTTGTTGCAGGTTCCAATGGTAAGCAATACATTGCGCCAGTCATCACTAGCTGGGAGAGACGTTTCATGGGGAAGAAAAACCACTGTTACATGTACAATAGCAGGGCCTTGACCGCTCCTAAATCGAACCTTGATCAGGTTTTGGCTGGGCCTGAACCGATCCTAGCTTTTTGGTAACAACAATTGCTATCATTTCAAATATATCAAGGGTTGGAACAATACATGCACAATGTACATCCATCTAACGCAATTATTGTTCTATCTCCCTGGTAACCATGTTAAAAATTCACTAGAGAAGTATTTTATTTCCTTGGTCTATTTCCCAGATTTGATCCATAAATGACATGAGATCTATGATTCAAAACAAATAACCAATCATAATTCACATGTTACCATTAGTTTTAATGCAATAACCAAATATTTCATCCAATCTAGCATCTTTTATAGGCCAAAATTTGTTTGCACAGCCGAGCAGAATGAGTTTACTCACATGCATGCAGCTTTTTTTGTGTCACCTAAAAAGTCTATCCCAAAGATCTAAGCTGAACATAAGGTTCCCTAATGTAACACCCTAGTTTCATATTTGTTGAATTACAATGTTTTAAGCCTTAAACACAAATATTATGAGTAATTTAAGTACTCTAAAAAGGTGCCAGCAGCTGTAGCATCTATTAAATTATCATATTTTCAAGGCAAATAGCTTACAAGGCAAAGCATGAGAAATCAAACCTGAAGTGATGAGTTGTGAGGGCTACAAGCTATTTGATGACTAAGCAAGTCTACTAAGCATGACAAAGCAAGCTAGTTATGAGTTGTCAAGTCTAGAAGCATGTGTTGCCAAAATTCATGACGACAAACAAGAGCTAGGAGCATGACAAATAGAAGCTACAAGCATTGTGCCAATATTCCTTTTATATTAAGCATGAGGTGTCAAGATTCTCTTATCCTCAAAAACAAGGTGTTAAACTCTCATAAGTTTACAATTTTGGGAGCAAGAAGAACAAGTAGCTAATGCAATAAATTTACCTATAAATAGGGGTTGAAGTGTTATTATTAGCTCCATACCAAAAATAAGAAATCTCTCTCTTCATACATAATCAAGCTGAAGAAAGGAATTAAGGGAAAAGCTAGGCATAATCAAGGTGAGTACTTATGAGATTTACATACATGCTATATAAAAGTATTTTATGCATTACAAGATATTTCGACCTGTTTGTCTTACATGAAAATGTTATATATTCATATATATATACAAGATATGCATGATGGCACGTTTTGATACAAGTACGTGTTTTACACCAAGGCATGAAAGTGTTTACATGTTATATATGACCATAAATATCCAACGTACAGGATATCACAAGGGACGTCTTGCAAACGGACCTTATGGAATAGGCTTTATGGACCCGGGGGTTAGCAAACCTCAAGACAAGTATGGCATAATTACATGTTTCAAGTGAGATCTCAAAAGAATGATTATGCATGATAAAAAGATTATTTTGAGCATGATCAAGAGTTTTTAGTGAATTACTATTCACAAAATATTAAACATCATGAAAATTGTTTATTCATGAAACCATAACTACTCACTAAGCTTTTAGCTTAAGTATCTCATGTATGTATCTCAGGGAAGAAGTAAAGAAGGATAGCATGAAGAAGTATTGTTCTAATCAATAGCAAAATTTTATTGTATTTTAAGCTATTGAGTTACGTTTCAGCTAGTATTTAAACTCGGTTGTAATCATAAAGCTAAGTTATATAAATAAAGTTAAACAAGTTCATATACAAGACTTAGTAATATCAATAAGAACGTAATGGCACCCGCAGTAGGAATTGGGGCGTTACACCTAAATTCTGCTGATTATATTTACATCATGTTAGGCAATACATCAATCTAAACAATTGTGTTTCTACTACAGTGATTAATGAGCGCATCGCCTCTTGGCAGCCAAAAATGAAGCAAATATTGTTGTAATGTAGTCCTATAGACCATACTACAACAGATTCCAAGAGATTTATCATCGTAGAACCCTAACAAGCAGACCTACTTCATCCACCTTCCACTAATTCCAAGACCAATAATTTCACCAACTCAATGAATCCTTCTTGGATCAAACTGTATTTCCTATCAACTTGTCTCAAACCCTTTCACTCAAAGTTCTTGTCAGCATTTTACGACTAATATAAATTACTGCCCTATTATTACGATGCACACTGGCCAGCCGTCCAGGCTAGCTTTTGTCAATGAAGATGGTACATGCACTAGTTTTCTTCCACAATATGTGGTGTTTTGTTAAATTCTTATTCAAATGTATACACCAGCAATAATAGTAGTAACTTGTTCTTGTATGTTATTTTGGTAAATTAGCATAACTCACTCCGAATAGAAAGATTGAGGGGGCCAGACACAGTGGAGGCTTCCATTAACATAGGATTGAGACTACAACCGAAATGGAATTGCACTGCTGATAGTAGATCTAGATACGCATCCGCCCACCTAAGAGATTTCTTCGTGCTGGGTAGTGAGCTAGGTGGAGCGACAAATAAATGGGATCTATTGGGCTTTCACCTGCACTATCTTTGCCTAACACATAGAAAGCGCGAGAAAAAAGGGCTTGCTGCTGGTTCGGAGATTACAGCACCTATTTTAAGCTTATAAAAGGTTAAGAATCTGCAGAGTTCGAACACACATACTAAAAACAAGGATGATCAGAGAAACATAGTTCAAGAAAACAAACAAGAGAATAAATTGCTAGACAGGCATATCTCAACGGAAAGAAAAAGAACACTCACCAACCCTTCTTATCTGTGTCTATAATTATCCTGTTCTTTGAAAGTTGTTCTTGAATTAATATCACCTGGAAGAATCAACGCAATCAACAATGTACCATTATTAATATCAGTTATGATTACACAAGACTAGACAAGATACAGAAAAATATTCAACTCCAAAGGAGGAAAGACGACTGCTCTTATCTCCTAATTTGCACAATCTAACATGGCCGCACAAATCCAGGTTCCATAAAAATAGCAAAAGATATGGCACCTCAGAAAAGCTCAAAACAGGACTGCAAAGACAACGAGAAAAATGGGATTCTTAACCAAATTATTTTGAGGTAAAATTAAAATGGAAGTTCACAGGGAACTCCTAGAAGGTGAACAGATCCTAGCATCCTAGAACATGAATAGTATTCCTCTAATATCTCTGATCTAAAGCCAACTCTTCGGTATATTTTAGTTCCTCAAATCTCTTAACTACTTCCCTCCGATGTTAATGTTGGCCAACCATTACCTCTCCAAACACCCTCCTCTTGGCACAAGTCTCCTCTTCTCGTCGCAGCTGTAACATCCCCAAATAGTGTTGTCTCGAGACTCTCAACTTTCCAGTTTCCTCATCTATTTCATTTTATCCATCTCTGAGTGACCCTTATCCACCTAAATGGTTATTCTGGATTGAGAAAGCTAATTGAAATAACCACCAAGTCCCCCCACCCAACATAGAAGAATACTCACCATCCAAGAATAAGTCTAACAACAACATTTCAACCTCATGTCCATGAGCTCCTTCATCCACATATGAAGGACTTTCAGAAAATTAGTAGTTATTTTTGTTTCAATTGAAGTATCATTTCATGTAATATGTTTAAAAGAAGTTGTTATAGATAGACTAAAAGTCTGAGCATGCATGCAAAATAGTATTGTACTCTTTATGTAAAGTATAAACCAAAATGAGTGTCCCAAAAGGGGTCTACCGCTATGTCAAGAATGTTACAGATAATTAAGCATGTCTTAATCATTGTATAGTAATTTTATACGGTGGTACATATATATCTTTCCATTGATGTGAGCATACCAACAAAAGTCTCATGTGGTAACACACATGGTCTCTTTTTAGAGAGAATTTCGGTAATCTAAATAGTCTTGTATGTTTGTTTGACAACGAAATCGAATTGCAAACAGCAAGTCACTCAGTTTCAACCAAAAGACATATACTATAAAAGATACTAAATCATGAATATTTTAGAAAAAGATAGAAATCATGTTCTATTAGGTTTGAAACCTCAACCTCAATTAGTCAAATAGCTGATGCATGCTTTCAATTGTATACCAATTTGCAAACCATGAAAAACTTGAAATCAAGTTTACAAGTTATAATTGTTGTTTATTTGAGTTTGCAAACCAAATTTGCTTTCCAAAAACATAAACAGATGCCGAACACTGTTTTATCATTTTTCCAGCAGGCAACACTTCTTTTCTACGTCTTCCATTTACATTTTCTATCCGGATTATAGTATTCAAAAGTGTTAACAAGAAAACAGGAAAAAAAATAAGGTCTAAGCATACAGAAGATGCCATTAAATGGTGCATTTTATATTTTTTTTATATCACTTCTATTGAAATATTTAAACTGTTATTTTTCGATGATGTTTTCTTTATTAGCAACTCATGGACTTATGGCAGGACCGCAGAAGCCATTTGTAAACCTAAGTTCAGATAAATTATTTGAGTACCAAAGGGAGCTGAAATAGCAACATATTTGAAGATGGGCATCAGGGTTGCTCATAAAAGATCAACTCAAGCCATGGCCCAAAAGCAACAATAATTGACAAGCAAATAATGGAACGAATTTTATATAGAACAAAGTTGGGCTTAGATTTAAAGCAGAAAATGCTACATTGTGCTGTGCACTCAATTTATGCCCTTCAATCTGAAACGAAAATTCTAATAGCACAGCTCAAGTATTTTAAGGTGCAGCATATAGGGACAACCAATTAATCCTACAAAATTAGGTTCTGATAAAGATATATAACTGAAAATAATCACATTCATAATAAACATTTTTAGCGATGAAACAGATTCTTAAGGAATGATAGAAATTAAAGAAATGGCATGAAAATTGTAAAACTCCGAGATAATAGGTCACCTTTTCATTTCCTTTCACAACAAAATATCCGCCTGGGTCAAGTGGGCATTCACCTAATGGAGACATGAATGGAAATTAGTCTAGATATTACTGCTATGAAAAGTTGATAAACGTGAATTCAAATGCATATAAGTAGAGTGATATGTATGATTCGTTTTGTTCTAGAGCATACAAACCGAGTTTTGCTAGTTCATCTTCGTCCTTGCCATAAAGGACGCAAGAAGAGCTCCTTAACATGATAGGCATTCTTCCTATAACAACATCTTTCTGCAATATCATATAACAAAGATTTAAACATCAAAACTTAGAAAGTGATACTACAAATATCAACAAAGATCTATAGCATACCTTGAATTGTGGATGGGTATTATGACCATGACTACCATTGCAATACTCAATGTTCACAAATATTGGAGCCGCATACCTACATCGCTTGGCACACAAGGCACAAATGAAGGGGGAAAACTAAGGCAAGATCAAGATAGTCAAAGGTTATCAATTGACAATGGGAAAGACGAAAAATAAGTGAGTAGCCATTGATGCTTAATTCACTTGCCACTCAAGCACGTAAATGACTAATACCAGATTAAGGTCAGGTAGGTCTTGCAGATAGAATGAATCAAAACCATAGAACCATACACCAATCCACAAGCAACTAATCAACTTTTAAGTCATCCACTATTTAACTAGAAATGATTGCTAAAGATTCACACCTTTAGCAGTATATAAACCAATTCTATTCTATGGGAGTATTTTACAAGTTTCATCATCAAGATGATATACATAACTGCTATTCAAAATAAAAGTACAGATGCTAGAATCAATAACTGCAAACTGGTTGGACAGAAACAACATACAAAAGCACCATTTCTTTCTCTTGTATTAGAATAAGCACCTAAAGTGCAGTAGTCCATATAGGCAGATCATGGTTTTGTTTAGAAGGTAGTTTGATCGAGTGTTTTCCCTTGTCATTTGCATGTGTAGTGATTATGCATGTGTAGTGCTGTGCACTCCTATTGGACAGGATTCACTCCATTTTATGGAATTTTAAGAAGATTAACCAATTATGAAAGAGAGATATAACTAAAATATAAATCAAATTAGAACTGTAAGAAATAATGCAAACAGCAACAAAAAAGAGACTTGCTTACGTCATGTCGCTTAGCCGACACTTTTGAGGGGTTAGTGAGTCAGTCACACCATCAACAACTACAGAAGGCTTTCCAATCCAAACATCTTTATATCTGTCATCAGCACAAAAGAAAGAACTTAACTTGACAGCTTACAATAAAAAAAATTACTTCCTCCTCTGCAAAATAAAAGAAGTCGATACACTTTAAGATGCATTTCCTATCAGTACTGCTTGTATGACCTCAAAAGTCAAGGTTCTTACTTTGGAACCAAAGTGTTGTATTTTTCTCTTTATTGGAGCCAATTTCAGAGAAGTAATTTTATCTTTAAAGACAATTCCAATGTGGTTTGTGTGCAATTCTGGACTAAGAAAGGTATCACCGTCGCTGATCAACGTTAATTACAAATTAACTAAAAACTGCAATATACTTGCAGGTAAAATCCATAAATAACATATTTGGATCTTTAAATCTATAAAATCTACAAGAAAATGGCATTGTTTTACCTCAGGTAGACGCTAGGATCATATCTAGATGTCACAAGGTCATTAGCTCGCACAATCTTCTTTATTTCAGTTTTAACAAAATAATTGAAAGATTCCAGATGTTGCTTCACCAAACCCCTGACCTGAAACTCCAAAAGTTAACACACAGAAGCACACATCCATAACAGATTGCAAGATCGATTAAAAAACTAATGTTTAAATATGTATACATGTTCATAACTGTTGGCAAATAGATTGCAAAACTAATATTTAAATATGTATACCCATCCCTTCCAAATATATGATAGTGTTCTTTTTTCTCATCTTTTCCTTTTTGCTTTGTAAACTATATTACTGAAAATATTGTTGACATTATGAATACTCAACTGACAGAAAATATCACTCTAATAATAATAATAACAAAATAGTAACATTAACAGAGACAAAGGCTTGGATGCATCGTAATTATTTTCTTACAGTTTGATACATTGTTTTTTTGATAGGGAGGGGGGAGACCCCTCCAGATCAAGATAAAACACTAAAACGCTAAAACAGCAGCAATGAAGCGCTCGGGTAGGAGAAAACCTCAACTACCAGAAACCAAGGCACCCCGAGGGGAAAGAAAAAGGGAGACAAAGAAGAGAAAAGACGAGAAAAGAGGGAAACGGAGAGAAAGAAGAAAGGGAGAAGAAGAGAAGAGGGAAGAGAAAGAGGGAAAGAGAAGCAGAGAGAGAGGAAGAGGGAATTGATACATTGTTCTGAAACAATAAAACATTATGTTTCTTTCTGGTCTCCTCCGTTTTGTTTCTAGAGACGACTACTAGAGAAAATAGATGTCAACTCATATGTAAGTAATGCAAGCTATGATTATTAAAACCATATCCAAATAGGCAACAAATATATATATCCCTAACTCTGGGTGAAAGCTAATGATTTTTCAAATGCAAATTTGTTGTATATAAATATTAGATACTTTAAAAAACTGGTGAAATCAGAAACTATTTTACTCTACTTGAAGTTCCTGTCGTTGATAGAATATTACTATAACTAGAACTTTATTTCTAAAGATTGTAAATATACATGTCGGTTTTCAAGTTCGAAAGTAACCCAATTGACTTCCAATAATTTTCCTAAATATTACTTCTGATATCTAAAAGCAAGGGATCGTATAACCTATGATCAATTAAAAAATTATAACAAAAATGCATTTACCTTGAGAAACTCGGGAAGTAACTGGAACTTATCGACAGCAGACTTCACTGGAGCAGCAAGGAATTGCTTGTCAAGCCCTTCACTACTGAAATCAAAATGAAAAAAATAATCATCAAATCAGGAACATGATGATTACAAATGATCGTAGAACATATGACGTACCCTTGAAGACTTGCGTCCAACATAGCAGAGTCTTCAATGACCCCCATGATCGGAAAAAACCCAAGGAGTGTTTCAGTTATAGAGTTTAAGGAAAATGAAAATGGCCAGGGGCGGAGCCAGGTGGTCCTCTTGAAGCCTCAAACTACAAAACAAGTCTATGTTTCAGTACCCAAGAAGGAAGAAGGTGCAAATTAACAATTAACATATGCTTGTTTTATGTCTCCTACAACAAAAGAAGAAAGATGGTATCAACTTTGTATCAGAACTAAAAAAAAATGTAGCATCAAGAGATTTGTAACACCCTACAATCAATATAGCATTTCTATCGAAATGTCGGCAAGACCTATTCATAAAGTCGTGTTATGCCCACTTTATAACTTCTAAGCATTTATATATATGATAATTTCAAAACAAATGTATATACAAACGCCACATATACCAACTAGTCTACGCACATATGACTAATTACAATGGATGATGCTATATCAATTACCGCCAAATACTTCAAACTAAGGGAGTGCTTGGTTAGAGGTATTAAGCCGTCATTAATGCGATTGAATATAAAAGAAACTGTTTTGTTTTATATAATATAATGGGTCAATTCTCCCACAAGCCTAAATCTTCAGTCCAGGTTAAACTGGGAGGAATGAAAATCCATTCCTTGTCACTTTCATTTTCATTCCCCTTCAGGCCTGCATGAATCAAATGGCCCCTAAATACTTTTCTTCCAAATGTTGCATCATCAAACAAGCTAGACGAATGAGATACATACTCCTTTCTCTCGTTTGTCTCTTATCTCCATCTCAAAAAGAAAAGGGAAAAGTCCAGAAAACCCAACAGATGAGATAAATTGACTTCCATCTTGACTGTAAATCCAGGATTGGCCTCCTAATTTCATGTGCATAATCCCAAAACTTTCCGTAGTGTTCTCTCAACCAAATTGATGTGGACGTCACTTTATTGGGTGACCATCTAAAGAAATTAGTACCATGAATTACAATGTTGCACAGTGGCATGTAAAGTAGCAACATGTTTACATTACACAAGTCTGTTATTCTGTAACTAAGGTCAACTGTTGGTCATGTCAGTTAGCAGATGTAAGCAGGTAGGTTCCAATCATATGCATAATTGTACTTCCAAAGTCTAGAGAATCAGACGTTGTTGCGGTACTCACTAATTGGTTGGTAGGTATTAGAAACTTCCATCCGCCAGTAAGAATTAGAAACCAGTTGATTGCTAATGGCGAGGAGAAACAAAGCACAAACGGAGGTCAAACAAACACAATAAGCAAACAAACAAACACTTTCAAGAGAAAACTAACCCAAACTTGAACAGAGGATCGAACAAACAAACCTGAACATGAGCAAATCTCAGCAAAGAAACAATTCATCAGTTCGTTAATTTCTAACTGTTTTTTGTATCAATGCTATGTATGATGAGCAAACAAACAAGCAGAATCGAACCTGAGACAGCTCGGGATACGACGCCTAAGTTTCCAAATCCAATTTACTTGTGTAATGTGTTATGGAAAATTGGAACCTGACAATCATACAACAAAAACATCAAATATCAATAAGTCTGGTTCGATTAAAGGATCCTAGAATTATCTAATTTCAACTTACCGATCAATGGTGATGAGTCTTGAGAGAACTCGAGACACGGGAACAGGGGGGAAGAGGGGAGGGGTTTTGGCGGTAGGGTTTAGTAATTTAGGTTCTTTTTCAACATTTAGACGAGGGTGAAACCCAATTTAATGTTTTGGGTTTGGAAAATTTCAATCCAATATAATTCAAAGTTGTACGGGTTACTCATCTTTTGATATATTAAAATATTTTTTTAACTTTAAATATGTTGTTTTCTTTGATATATTAAAATATTTTTTAATTTTAAATATATTGTTTTCTCTAGTTTATTTGTAATTTTTTTTTTCATCATCAACCATTTTGTATAATTTATTCATACTTCTTAAATTTTAAGTATATCACGTTCGATTAATATTCTAAATCTACATATACATAGAAGGGTATTCACGCAATGCAGCAAAATACATCTTGGTTTTAATATTTCATTTTATTTTTTATCTCGGTCGGTGTTATAATATAATCTTATGTGATTTTGAAAAAAACGATGATATTCTTATTTTAGAATAAAATATAAATTTGAAGATGTCATAAAAATTTGACAAAAATATATCGACATTAATATCAAATTAACTATTTAAAATTTTCTATTTATGTGTAATTTTTTAATTTAATTTTTTATTATAATTTAATTTAGGTTCACTAACGAATTAATTTATATTTGGTTTAATAATATAATTTTTTTATAAATGTAATAATTAAGTATTTTTTTATAACTCAATGATTATCCTAGTTATATTTTAGATTTTTTTATATTTAAAATGATATGTTTATCATCTATTTGACTATGTTTATCTGCAGTTAGTTACACAAATTCAAATATAAAGCTTTAACAGGTTGTACTTACTCACACAATTTACTTATAACCTTAGATTTTAAGTAATATGCATCAATAAACAGTACTTAATGCATAAAAAATGGTTTTTAAAAGTTTTTGTCAAATGTTTTATAATATAGTATAGATATATATATATATATATATATATATGTTCACGATTACTAAGCGTGTATACAAATAAGTTAGTTATATAGAGATGAAGAATAGATTGAAAATATATGTACACGAAGAGGATATGTGATGCTGTAATTATCTAATATACATATTAATACAAAATTTAACAATAATATAAAATCAAAAAATAAAAGGATACGGAATTCATAGGGTTGAGTTGAGTTAAAATAAAAGTAACTCAATGTAAATCCAATACATACGATCTAAGAATTTTACAACTCGATTAGACACCGGGTTGTTTCATAATGAATTATTTTGCGTTGGATTGGGTTGAGTCAATCGGATGAATCAAATCGATTAGGTTTTTAAGCAATTTAGACGATGCGATACAATTTTGCGTTCATTTGATCTTGATCCTTGTGAATCGAACAGAGGCCTAGACTAGATCTCCATATCTGATGAAGTGTCCTACATTACTTGTTGAATAAATCAGTTAAATCAAATATTTTATTTTTATTTATAAAATGCTCTTGGTTCAAATGAAGAAATATTTATATTTATGTTTTAAAATCTTAAAGTATTTTTTAGTGTTTTAATGTATTTAATATATTTGATTT